CTGCCCATTAAATTCTCAAAGAATGCAACTATAGCGACTTGATTCAGGTATTTCTTTCTCTAGACTTTTTCTCTTGCCAGTTGAATACACACACCCCTTGCTCTTCATTCTTTCTGGCAAGTTTTCTAAGGTGTGTACTAAGTTTTTGAGGAGCTGAATGTCATGTTGCCTTGAGTAAAACTCAGGAGCCAGCTGGCACCATTTATCTCTTCAAATTACAAGAAAATGTGAGAAACAACAGGGTGTCTATGTGGGGTCCTGTGGAGCCCTAAAGGGCAGCTACGTGTGAAAGAGTCTATCATGGCAATGAGCTCTAGAATTACCTGTAATCCTGGAAGCTTCTGACTTGACAAAACTTATCGCAATGTGGTTTCATGATCAGAATTTTAGAATTTCATGATCAGAGTTTTTTTTCTACCCTATCCAGCTACATCTTCAAAAGTTAGATGTGTTCATGAGAGTGATAATGGTGGGAGGAAATTCATTTTGTTACTTTTTTCTGGAATCAATGCAGTTTTTTTAAGGCTCCCTGAAATCCCAGTAGATATTAAACATTGAAGTTTTCTAGTTATTTATTATTTTTGTTGAATTTAATCACATCATTTCTTGAGGTAGGCTGTCTTATAGCGCATCACATTAAGAAGAAACAAACACTCCCTCATAAGCATTTGAAGTCCCATGTAAGTTTAATATCTCAGTAAAAACTCATAAAGGATTTTTGAGTAAAAATGTTATAACACAATCTATTTGAAACCTCATACAGAAAGATTAGCCAAGATGAATATATGCATGATATTTTTAGAAAGTCAAAATAAGTAGAAATTTCTTAGCACTTCTTTTTGCGTATGCCTTAGTGAAATAAGAAATTATATAAGAAAAATCATAAACGTTAAATCTGGATTATTAGAAAGAAGGTACAAAGGCTCATCCTAGAATAGACTTTTCTCACATATTCTTGTTACTACATTTAAGAAAATATAAGAACACAAGGACAGGATAATTCATTTAAAAATGTACATAATTATAGAATGCAAGGGAGCTGGTTGAAAAGGGTAGAACCTTGAAAAAGCGTTATAGATTTAGGCTAAATGAAAGAAAACTTTAGAAATTATAAATTTTTCTTCATTGCATTAAAAAAACATGTGTTATATATTTCAGAGACTGCTTCAGAAATTAGTAAAATAAAAAAGAAAGAATTATGAGGCACTATTACTGAGTTCTCCAAGAGCCTGAAAAAAGAAAATTTGTATGCATCCTTACTATTTAAAATGCAAAAATCTTATATTTGTAGAAAAGTCAATTTCCCTTTGATGCCTGAGTAGATACGGAACTAATCATCAAGCAGTTTATAATCCCCTATAAAAGCACACCATTCTGGGTCACAATCAATACTGCTTTGCAGAAAGTAGATTTGGGGCAAGATTGTTCAAATATGATCAAATAAAAATTTCAGGATGCATTGCAAGATGAATAATATACAATAAAAATACACATGGAAACTTTAGAACTGTGATTCTACTCTATATGTCAGTTTTTAGCATACTACAATTTTCTCTAGCATACTACTGGGGCCATGGTTCTCAAACTTTCTGGTCTTAGGACCCTATTATATTCTTAAGTTATTCTGAAGTACCCAAAGAGCTTTTCTTTGGGTGGGATATAGTTCATGTTCATGAGCAACCATGAATGTACAATGGCAAATAAGTTTCTAGTGTCTAGTATTACCATGAAAATAGTTGTGACCTCACAGACCTCCAGGTATCAGGGACCCCAGTGGTTCCCAGAGCACACTTTGAGAACTGCTGTGCTGCAGGGTTGGTAACTGAAAGATTATTGGACATCTCAGTGAGAGGAACCAAAAGTGACTCAATGAAACAATTTATGAAATATCCATCAAGGTATAAATTCTGTCTGACTGAAAGTTAATGTTTTTATTAGAAATCCCTGGATAATAGCTTCAAGTATTTGATTTTTATTCAAGGAAAAAATAATATTAGAAAGATAAGGGATAGGGGAGAAGGATTTGGTCATTATTTGATGAACATGTATTAAGTAACCACATTATATAGGAAGCACTGGAGAGACAGAAAAGATCTTAAAGCTGTTCCTTGACATGTTCACCATCAAGGGAGAGAGATCTATGTGCGCTAACAGAGTTGTGAACAGAAGTCTCAGGCAATCCAGTGGAAGGAAGAGTTTTTTGTGCCAAATAATTTCAGGAAGTCTTCATATAAGAGGCAATGTTCATGACCAGGTGTGCACAAGCAGTGCACATGCTGAGCAGAAGCACTCCAGGCAGTGAGTTCACAGAAGAGCATTGCAGGGAGAGCGTGACTTTGAGCAGAAAGACATACAAGGGCCTGACTCCAAGAAATGGTGATCTTTCAGTAGCTGGAGCAGCAGGTGTTGTTGGTGTAGAACATGTGGGAGAGGTTGGGTGTGACTGCAGAAGGCTTTTTATGCTCACTGAGAAGAGTAGGCATTGCCCTCTAGACAACAGGAAGCTGCTGAAGTTTTTTTTTAGCAGAGGGATGATTTTTCAGAATCATGTTTCAGAAAGTCAGCTCAGTGGCTCTGTGGAGGAGGAAAGTGATGAATACGAAACTAGAGTTTGGAAGAGCACTTTCGAGCATTTTGGAATATTCTAAGCTATAACACTGTGTTGCATGGGCTCAAATCAGCCTGCTTAGGTTCAAACGTTAATTACTCCCTTCATTCGGGGATCTCAAACAATTAGCTAGCTGTAGAGGAGTACCCGTAGCTACCATAAGGATGACTTGACACAATAAAATAAAGTAAAATGAAACAACATTAATGCACTACAACTTTGCAATCGATAATAATTATCATTATGGGTGCATAAAATTATAGGGAAGAGGGAAAACTTGGAACAGATTTTAGAGATATTTAGGAGTTGGGATTCACAGGATTTTTGTGAAAATGTTGGATGGTGGTGAGAGGCAGTGAAATTGTTTCAGATGTTTAGAGTCAAGGGAATCCTGGGAAATGACAGATAATAGGTAATGGAGGGAGGGGACAAAGGCATGAGAATGTGGAGAAAGTAAGACCTATTTTCACATAAATAATGTTTGTAAAAATGATGCAAAATGTTTACTGCAGTTACCTCGCATAAGATGGAGATGTAGTGTGTGCCACTGATGATGAAATGTATCCAAAAAGTTTTAAGGAACGAGATGGAAAAATTTATTTGTGATAAATCTCACAGACCAAATCAAGGGAGGAACAGGGTAACTAAGCTCCTAACAGAAATATGTAACTTTTCAAGAAAATAAAGTGCTCTCCTTGAGAACTAGAGGGTAACATGAAGCCTTTAAGAAAAGAAGAGGTGCAAATTAAGAGAGAAGTTGAGAATTAAAGCTGGCAATGCATTTTTTTTTAGCATAAAAATATACCACATTATCAATGTATTACATGAAGTGCTCAAGTCCACACAGCCAAAAGACCCAGTCTAGGTAAGTTTCTGTTATAATAAGTAAGATTTGGAATGATAAAAGTTGTTAGGAAAAGAGTTTTCATTTACTTAAATGGTCAAAGGGTGCTGATTTAAAAGAAACACAGATTCTCTAAAGGATGTACAAACTTTCTCATAAACTTATCAGTAGTTTAAAAGGGGGTGAGTAAAAACTAGAATGAAATATTATTTTCTCAAGCACAAATAACCAATGTCAAACTGATGTTTTTCTAAAGTAAAACACAACACCCAGGTGATCAGATGGGCATCTATGTGTGCTGTGCTTATGTTAGCTATTTGCAAAGATGTGGGAGGAATCTCAATAAAATAATTACTTGGAGCAAGAAAGTTCCTAATCTCAGAATAAGGTGGAGAAAAAGATAAAAAGATTAAATGGAGAGACTTCTGTTACAGTGATAGTATTCTGAACCACATATTTCTTTGGGAGAAGGGAGAGGTGAAGGACAGTGGACAACAATCGTCTTTGAAATTAGAATAGCTCATAAAAGAACTAACTACAAGATAAGTATTATTAAAATCTGTGCCAATTCACGGACTGCTTGCATTCAGACACTGGTCATGTTTTATTATAGTCACACGTGAATTGACAAAATGTGAAGCATTTTGTATTTACAGTTCAGTGGAATAATTTTTCTACTGTGGCTGCTTGAACATATTGTTTGGCTTCAGGGAGAATTGCTCATGTTCTTGGAATGGAAACAGATCCGAATAATGGTATTATCAAATTAAAGGCTGGTCTTAAGGCTTAAAGTTGATCACTAGGTATGTCTTGAAAACGATTTTTTCTGTTCCTCTTCTGTTCCCTTACTGAAATACCATTGATCAGTGCTTAAAATGGAAATGTGGATTTGTAATCACCTTGGTGAGTGAAACAGGATGCCACACAGGGTGCTAGTTTCTTATCTCAGGATGAGAATTCACAGTCTCTTGGGATAGAGGTAGCACCTTCCACTTGTTCCTCCCTCTGCCTCCCAACACATAGACACACACACACACACACACACACACACACACACACACACAGACACACACACACACTCACACACACTCTTTCTCTCTCTCTCCCCCCCTTGCTTGTAAGCCCTCCTTAGGGTTATAAAATGGGTGAGATCGTTCTGAGATCTAAATATAAAGGAACGCAATTTTAACATATTGTGTCATTAAGAAGTTTAGGAGCTTTTAGACACAATCTGGAGGTAGTGGAAAATTAGATGCAGTGTTGCATTAGACATGTTTTTAGTATTTTCTTCTTTTTGTAAAAGCTGTAATTTTCAGAGTTAAGAACCAATTTAATGTCCCTGGAGTTACAGCTTTTTTGTATCCATTGTCCATTAGGTGAATTACTAAGCCAAGAATGGAATCCATTTATAATGTATAAAATACTGTGAAATGTCTTAAAAACAGTCTTTGCAGGGGGAAAAAGCATTGGGAGTCCATTAAATTTGAAGACAGTGAGTTCTGAGGTTCTTCTTATAATCATATAATGGTTTTTTGTGCTTTGATAATATGGTGCATTAGATATTGGGCGGAGCAGGCGCTGTGGCAGAAGGGAAGATGGCGGACGAGGAGAAGCTGCCGTCCGGCTGGAAGAAGCGCATGAGGCGCAGCTCAGGCCGAGTGTACCACTTCAACCACATCACTAACGCCAGCCAGTGGGAGCGGCCCAGTGACAACAGCAGCAGTGGTGGCAAAAATGGGCAGGGGGAGCCTGCCAGGGTCCGCTGCTCACACCTGCTGGTGAAGCACAGCCAGTCAAGGCGCCCTCGTCCTGGCGGCAGGAGATCCCCCGGACCAATGAGGAGGCCCTGGAGCTTATCAACGGCTACATCCAGAAGATCAAGTCATGAGAGGAGGACTTTGAGTCTCTGGCCTCACAATTCAGCGACTACAGCTCAGCCAAGGCCAGGGGAGACCTGGGCGCCTTCAGCAGAGGTCAGATGCAGAAGCCATTTGAAGACGCCTCGTTTGCGCTGCGGATGGGAGAGATGAGCAGGCCCGTGTTCACGGATTCTGGCATCCATATCATTCTCCTCATAGAGTGAGGGTGGGGAGCCCAGGCCTGGCCTCTGGGTGGGGCAGGGCGGCTGGGCCCGCCAGCTCCGGCACTGCCTGCTGGCCGGTGGTCAACCCCCCTACTCCCTGCCACCGTCAGACAGTATTTATTGTTCCCAAAATGGCCGGGAGGGGACCCTTCCAGATTGGGGGCCCTAGAGTCCCCACTCCCTGTCCATTCCCAGTTGGGGCTGCGACTGCCAGGCTCTCCCTTAAGGAATTGACTTCAGCAGGGGTGGGAGGCGCCCAGAACCAGGGCAGTGTGGTGGGAGGGGTGTTCCAAAGAGAAGGCCTGGTCAGCAGAGCCGCCCCGTGTCTCCCCTGGTCCTGGAGGCAGACTCGAGGGCCGGGTTGTTTCTATTAGGCCACCCTCCTCTGTTGAGTTGCAAAAAGCAACACTCGTGCGGCCCAGCAGTGGGCCCTCTGAGCAACCGTGCAGCACCCTCTTACCTCCAATTAAACACCCAGAACCACTTAAAAAAAAAAAAGTTATTTAAAAGTTTGAATTCAAGGAAAATTTATATAGAACTCACATAAAATATGTTATTTTTGACGCTCCAGACAGCTTTTAAAACTGTGTATTGTCAAAAAACACTTTAATATTTATGATATTCTAATACAAATTAATAGATATTCACTAAAATTCTACCAAGTGTCTTATGATGATATTGTCACGATTGCTGGCATTTAATAGGCTTAGAAAATTTGGTTTATAAATTCTTGTTTTTGAAGAAATTCTAATTATGCCTGAAAATCAACTTGTTCTAAAAAAGGTTCTTTATAAGATGTATATGATATGTATGTATGTCTGTGTGTGTCTATTTAGACACACAAACCCATTTCCAGTGATCAGATTTAAATTAACGTCAGGATTTGTGTTTGTACATGTTTTTGTACCCTATAGTGACTGCTGTGAGATCCCAAACCATAATTAATGTTTTGCCAAACTTTCATATAAAAGAATAAAATTTCAGAAAAATAAGCCAACTTCAAATTTTACTTTATTTAATAAATAAATAAATACATAAAATGCTAAAATGTTATTCCCAGAGTATGTTCCAGGATCCAGACAGCTGCTGCCAAATCTTAGAAAGTTATTACTTCTCTAGCGACAGCCCATATAGTATGTTGAACCTTACTAAATTGTCATCTATATTGGTCAAAACCAGGTGGCTAGCAACCACTTCATAAGATTTGACCTAACAGTAATCTTCAGAAGGACAAATGTTTGTCATTGTTACAGCTGAAGTATCATTTTTAAAAAGTCAAATAGTGCTTTCTATAGTCACTGAAGCAGAGAAATGTAATGTATTTAATGAAGGTTCTAATAAAGACTGTTAGAATCAGCAGTTTTCCTCTCATTAATAGGATTTTGTAACTGAAAGTCTTACTACCCAGGCTGTGATAATTCCTTGAGACAGTGGGTGTCCACATACATGTTCATATTTCCTACTGTATCAATTAGAAAAGTTTCTTTTCAGCTGTAAGTTACATAAATTCGAGCTAGTCGTGGCTTAAGTAAATGCAAGGTGCTTTTTTTTCCTCTCACATAATAAAAATCTGGAGGTAGGAAGCCCAGTACTGGTGTGATGGCTCTGTGATGTGATCATGGACCCAGCTTCTTCCTGTCCTTCTCATTAGCATGTTTAACCTTTTAGCCAGCTGACAGCTATAGCATCACACTCAGGACAAGAAGAGAGAAGGGACAGCATGATGCTAGCCTTATCTACCCCTTTCATTATGAGAGCAAATGTTCATCCACAGATCCCAGCTTATGTTGTATATGTCAGGAAAATGTCATATGACCATACTTGACAATGGCTGGAAAGATAAAATTTATTTTTCTTGCTCTGTAGGAACTGTAGGAGAGAGGAGGTGAAGAAATACTGGGAAAGTGTTAGGTTATCAACCAACAAATTGACAGTGCCTGCCAAATTTCACTTTTTCCTTTTTTTATTATTATTATACTTTAAGTTCTGGGGTTCACGTGCAGATCTTGCAGGGTTGTTGCATAGGTACATACATGCCATGGTAGTTTGTTGCCTCCATCCCCCCACCAACTACATCAGGGATTTCTCCCAAAGTTATCCCTCCCCTAGCATCCCACCTCCCAACAGACCCCAGTGTGTGGTGTTCCTCTCCCTGTGTCCATGTGTTCTCATTGTTCAACACCTACCTATGAGTGAGAACATGAAGTGTTTGGTTTTCTGTTTCTTGTCTCAGTTTGCTGAGAATGATGGTTTCCAGACTCATCCATGTCCCTACAAAGGACACGAACTCATGGTTTTTGATTGCTGCTTAATATTCCATGGTGTATATGTGCCACATTTTCCCAGTCCAGTCTATCATCAATGGACATTTGGGTTGGTTCTAGGTCTTTGCTATTGTAAACACTGCTGCAATGAACATTCGTGTGCATGTGTCCTTATAGTAGAATGATTTATTGTCCTTTGGATATATACCCAGTAATGGGATTGCTGGGTCAAATGGGATTTCTATTTCTAAGGCCTTGAGGAATTGCCACACTGTCTTCCACAATGGTTGAACTAATTTACACTCCCACCAACAGTGTAAAAGTGTTCCTATTTCTCCACATCCTCTTTAGCATCTGTTGTCTCCAGATTTTTTAATGATTTGAGATGGTATCTCAATGTAGTTTTGATTTGCAGTTGTCTAATGACCAGTGATCATGAGCGTTTTTCATGTTTACTGGCCACATAAATGTCTTCTTTTGCAAGTGTCTGTTCATATCCTTTGCCTACTTTTTGATGAGGTTGTTTTTTTCTTGTAAATCTGCTTTAGTTTTTTTTTTTTTTTGTAGATTCTAGATATTAGCCCTTTGTCAGGAGTGTAGCTTGTGAAAATTTTTTCCCATTCTGTTGGTTGCTGGTTCACTCTAATGACTGTTTCTTTTGCCGTGCAGAAGCTGTGGAGTTTCATTAGATCCTATTTGTCTATTTTGGCTTTTGTTGCCATTGCTTCTGGTGTTTTAGTCATGAAGTCCTTGCCTGTGCCTATGTCCTGAATGGTATTGCCTAGGTTTTCTTCTAGGGTTTTTATGGTGTTAGGTCTTACGTTTAAATCTTTAATCCATCTGGAGTTAATTTTTGTGTAAGGTGTAAGGAAGGGGTCCAGTTTCAGCTTTGTGCACATGGCTAACCAGCACCATTTATTAAACAGGGAATATTTTCCCCATTGCTTGCTTTTGTCAGGTTTGGCAAAGATGGTTGTAGATGTGTGGCATTTCTTCCAAGGCCTCTGTTCTGTTTCATAGGTCTATATCTCTGTTTTGGTACCAGTACCATGCTGTTTTATTTCTTTTTCTTTTCTACTATCCCTTGTGTTGGTCAACTATACATTGCTAGACATTGTGACTATTAGACTGGACCATACAAAATTTCTAATTATTTTTACATTGTTGACTTATAAGAATAAGTAATTTCATATGGCTTAATTTAATAGTTGTATTAAAGCTTTGATAAAAGTACTTATTACTAAGTCCCCAGAACTCTAGAGATTTAGAGATTTAATATGGATATTAAATCTCTAGAGATTTAATATCCATATTATTCAGTCCATTTAAAATTTCTAGTATCTCTGAAAAAAATCAACATTTGAGTCCATGTGGTAAACAGTAAATGAATCATGAAGTTACTGAACTTAATGAAGTTCTGAATGCCATATAAATTACTTTATGTGAAAAACTTATAAAATGTGTGCTCCAGGTGAAATTGAAGGAAATAAGTTGATTACTATGAAGAGCTCCTTTAATGTAAAAGACCTGGTGCTTACCAGGTACTGGAAAAGACACAAAAATCAATCAGAATCAAGATGAACAAGCTCTCAAAGGACATAAACATGGTAATTATACACAGTGATGGCACAATGCTGATACTGACTGGATAGTTATTTGATCCATATGACATCTAGATTTCTGTAGCACCTTTGATTATAATTTTTAAAGATATTTCTCATTCTTTGTCCCTTCAATGCTCATATTATCCCTTTGAGGTTGTATAATTTACCTATTTGATTAATAATATAATAAATATCACTAAAATGTGGAAGTTAAGTGGCATTCTCAAGATTGCATGATGATTTATTTCTGAATCAGAAGTTTTCAAGGTCCTTGAGGCCTCAGGAGACACCAAATAGAAGATGAAAAAACAAAAAGGATCGAATTGTCAAAGTAGACTCTCATGAGTCACAGCTTTTACCCACTATCAAACTTTCCTAGTAATTTAGAGTACAAGCAATTGCAATACCTGGGCAAAGCCTGCTTCCCTGAGAGAAGTCTAACACCATTACCTCAGCTCCCCAAAGCCCTTCTTCTCTCACATAAGGAACAATCTGGTCAACCCTAGCTTGTGAATTTACACAGTGCATGCAGCATGTTTCCTACATAGTGGGAGCCATTTCAGACATAAAGCATCTCCATTTCTTACTGCACTAATTATCTAATCAATCATCCTCTCCAAAGTCCACAAATTCCAGCTTTATGTACAACAAGCAGCCTAAATAAATCAGGTATTTCCTGCTGAAAGCATTTGACCTGTAAGGTCTCTCTATTACCTTTCTACTAGGAAAAAATTAGCCAGGAGTGGTGGCTCATACCTGTAATCCCAGCACTTTGGAAGGCTGAGGCAGGAAGATCACTTCAGCCCAGGAGTTTGAGACCAGCCTGGGTAACATACGGAAACTCCATCTCTACAAATAAATAAATAAAAATAAGTAAAAATTTGCTGGGCTTGGTAGTGCACACCTGTGGTCTCAGCTACTTGTGAGGCTGAGATAGGAGGATAGTTTGAGCCTGAGAGGTCAAGGCTGCAGTGAGCCGTGATTGTATCACTACACTCCATCAGTGCTGCACTCCTGCTATACCAGAGGCTAGGTTATCGCAGGTTTGCAGGGGTAGTTGTCCAAGGCATTTCCTTTTTTGGCAAGCACCCTCGATAAATGGAAATTTGATGTCATGGTCCTGCCATCAACCCTTTTTCTAGAGTGAATTCTTTTGTTCTGAGGCCACACTGGATATGTTATACTGGGCATGTAAAACGTTTATGAAAGTATCACCAATGTGCTAAACAGGATTTACACATGGATTTTGATCAAAATGCAATTCCAAGTTTATGTTTTATCATCTCTTTAAATGTTATTCACTGGGAGTGATCCTGCCCTGTCCATAAATGAAAACTCATGGAGGCCAATGATTCTGCAGTATTAGATGCTCCTACCGTCACATTAAGTTGTAAACACAGTCTCAGTTCCGAAATTCAAATATTTAGATTCACAGACATTTTGAAATTCTCCCCTCTCTGCAGTTCAGTCCTGCTTTAGACTGAAAATCTGCCTGGGCGAGAGAGGCTTTCTCCATTACATCCTGCCACATAACAAACTTGCCCCAAACCTAGTTATTTAAAACAATTATCATTGTTTGTTCACAGTTCTTTGTATCAGCAATTTGGGCTGGGTTCA